GGCAAAGTGTCGCACTTTATGCCTACGTATTCTCATCAGAGAATGAGAAATCAGAGCCAATGTAGTTCGCGTAACTACGGGTGATGGGGGAAGGTGGCTCGCCAATACGTCAGTATTGTGCCTACGTACTCTCAACAGGTATGAGAGATCAGAGCTTACGTAGTTCGGGATGATACGAATTACGGGAATTCAGATTCATCTGCTTTTTCGAGTAGGGTTAACAGATAGTTCCAGCAGTTTGGCGTACCCAGCTCGACCCTTCGAGACTTAGGCGTTACCTTTTGCGATAGAACTGGGAGTTAACGACACTCTTTTCTTCAGAAAAGCTTCCTTTGAATTATGGGCCCACGGGGCAAAAAGGTTTGAAGTTTGTTTTCTGTCTTTTATGGAAGAACTGTTTTTTATGGTTGTCTGTAGTTTGTACAGCACTAGAGACTATGACTTAGGAGCAAATGCGTCACATATCGTCCAAAGGACGTATACTAAACATTCTAGACGATTGAGAGGAGGCCGCTCAATTATCATTACCCAAGTAGCTTAAGGCTCGTATCGCGCTTATACTAACTTACCTTTATTACGTTTTTTACTATTGTTTGAGATGAGAAGAGAGAACAGGCTCAACTAAGGGGAGACTATCAAGTCCTAACAATTGTCATGCCAAGGATTCATCCTATGGTTAAGGTTTGAAACAGGGAGCTCCTAGCAGTTATCATGCATAGGTTTCAACCTAAAGTCTATCACAGTCATCCTATCTAGGAGACTGGAAATCCTAAGGGCACATGCAAGGAAGGTATCAACCAACAGCAGAAACAATTATCAAACAACAATGCTATCAAGCTAAAACAAATAGATGCACATGATGCAGCAGTACAAGTAGAGGGAGACCCACTCGACCTCTTAGCAATCAAGCAAAGCCAATCAATAACAGGCAAGCAGAGATAGACAGACTCAACCTCTATCACTAACACACATATGAAAAGAAAAACAACACACAAGCAAGGGGAGGATCACCACAACCCTTAATGCAAACAAGCAGAGGGAGACTCACTCGACCTCTAAGCAGTCATGCTCCTAGCTTAAAAATAATCTACACATGGACCTATTCTAATGCATCAAACAATTCAAACAAGGGAGAGAAACCATAATGAGCAACAAGGAAGTCATCCCAGGCTGCATTAGGTTAGAGGTATATCAATACCAGAGTCCATCATGGGCTCAACCTCTTGAGGAATGCACAGAATCCAACCAAAGGAAGGATTAGGCTCTCCCAAGAGGAATCCTATGTCAATAGGACAGAAAAAACTGGGTATTAGTCCTAGATATCAATCTAAGGGTAAATGATTGTAGTGTATCAACACAGAATGTCCATCTCAGGCTCAACCTATTGAGGAATGCATAGAATCCAACCAAGGGAAGGATTAGGCTCTCCCAAGAGGGATCCTAAGAAAAGGACTTTGAGATGGATGACAGCGTATAAACCTAGGGAATATACCATGCCAAGAATGTCAATCCAAGGCTCAACCTCCTAAAGAATGCACAGAATCCAACCAAAGGAAGGATTAGGATCTCCCAGGAGGCCTCCTCATCAGGACTTGAAGGATAGAGATAGTACAAACCAAAGGAATGTACTATATTGAGGAATGTCAATTCAAGGCTCAACCTCCTGAGGAATGCACAAAATCCAACCAAGGGAAGGATTAGGCTCTCCCAGGAGGGTTCCTCTTCAAGACTTGAATAAAGAATATGGGACAAAGCCCAAGGAGGAATACACTACAAGCTAGCTACAAGGTTCACCTAAGCTAGGGGCATCAAAAGCTCTATCAAGGCTATGGCAAAGTTCTAATGAGATCTCTACCTACTTACCAATCTATCAAGAAAGGAATACACTACTTAGAATCATCTAATGGCTATTTACAATGTTAATCTATGAAGCTCACTAGGTTAAGATCACCTAAACTAAAGTTAATTTGTAAAATAGGGAACTAAATGAAAATCATTCCTAAAACTTCTAGGGAAAATATCATATCATCCTACATGTATCAACATGCTATAGTCCAAAAATCAGGGGTTAAACCTAAGTCAAAAGACTCAAATTAAATCTAAAGTTTCAAGGGTACACCAAAGGAATTCAATCATGAATACTCCTAAACAACTACCCTAAAAGCCTATTTAAAATCATCTAAAAATCATGATAAAAATCACACAATATCATCAACATGTATATAACAACAATCAAAAGGAATAAAAATTTTATCTCATGCTAAAAGTCATCAATGAAATCAATCAAATAGAAAGGCTATGCTATGAACATGTTAAGACTAGCCTAAGTATTAATTCAATCTAAAATACCAAAACTAATTCTAAAATCCTAGGAAAATTTCTAGGGGAACCTAAGCATGTTAGGTATCTATAGTAGAAAAACCAGAGCCTAAAACTATGCTTAAAGGCACTAAAGAAATCACACACCAAAAGTGGTCAAAAGGGAAATCAAGTGGGGAAGCCTCTAAAGATCGAGTTCAAAACAGAACCTAAACTACCTAAAATTACACTAAAATCACAAACTAGCAAAGTATTAAGTCCAAATTCTATACCAAACTCCAGAACAAAAATCGGCAAGAAACTATGCAGTTTTTGACATTTTATTATCCAACTAAAGGAGAAAAACGAAATCAATTTGAAAATTAAACGAAACTAAAATCCAATTGCGCACAAAGATCAAAGACATGATAAGGATCATCCATGAAGTTTACCATATTTTTCTAAGCATTCTTGCTATTTTATATGAATTAAAATCAAACAGCACACAAAACAAAATTTTAATACCATTAAAAAACAACAATCAAATGGTTAAATTAAATCGGAAAAGCAACCTACAGATCGGTGATCGTTGATCATGTGAGTTTGCAAAGATCCGAACAAGATTAGACGGAAAACTTCAAGATCCACAATAATTCTTGCAAGAAGATGAAGATCGAACACTTCGAATCCGAATTGCTCAGAATAAATACTTCCAACTTACGCTCCAATATCCAACTTCAATTTGCACGAAAATTGATTACGAAACTTGATCCGATAATGATGATGAGTGGAGATTTATGCTCAAAATTCCATTGATTTCAATGAAAAATCAATGGATCCGATGACAAGGAGCTATGGGTGAGGGTTTGGAGAATGAAGAAAATTGAGAGAATTGAGAGAGTGAGAGAACTCTTGAAAATGAAAAATGAAAATTGTGAGGAGTTTTTTTCTTTTTGTTTTGGAGTAGATCACTTAAGTACTCCTTAGGCTTGGATCCCAAGGTAAGGTTTGGACTTTGGCTTGTGAAAATTGGTTTGGAGCTTAATGGTATGATTTTGGGATGTGTAGCTTATTCATGACGTCACAAATTGGAACACCATGAACCAAGCCCCAAATGAAAATTCTAATAATTCCAAAGTGTTTAGAATATCATTTCCAATCAAAATAAGTACAAATTTGGCTTGAAATCATTCAATTACCAATTGTTTTGAATTTTCACATTTTAATTCATTAAAATGGTCTTTATGTGAATTTTCTTCAACCAATGCTTGATATAATCCATATCAATGGACTCTTGATACTTGGTTAAGCTAAAAACATCATTTTGGGCAACTTTAATATTGAACAAAAATCCATTTGAGGCTTGCAAGATAGTGAAATTGACCTATAATTCAAAATGACCTGTAATGTCCAAATATGCAAAATACCCTTGACTTGTCAAAGCCATAACTTGAGTTCTATAGATCCAATCATGGACTTCTAGTACTATATGGAAAGCTAAGAGGATAAGGAACAACATTCATGTTTACAAAAAGTTCATAGGAATCATTCTTATAGGGAAAAAATGTCATGCAATTTGGGTAACTTTCAAGCTCCAAATTCACATGCCTCAGATGACTTGTAACTTGTATGGCTCATAACATGAGTTATATAAACCCTATCAAGTACTTCTAGTACTCAAATTAAAACTAAGGTCATTCCCTACAACAATCATGTTGGGGTCAAGATGAGATGACAATCATATCTTGAGTTAAATAGTCTTGAAGTCAGGGGTCAAGCCAGGGGATTTTACACTGTCAAGTCTTAGAAACCCTAGCCTACAACTTCTCAAACTCTTCAATCATGATGAGTTAACCTTGGAATTATCCTTATAACATCTCAATCTATCAATCCATTATCACATGGATCTTTAATTAGGTTTCAACCTTCTTCAAATCATCAGTTGACTTAGGGTTGACCCAGCCAAACCCTAATTGCACCACTCATGGCTGAGGCTTCTTAGTCTTGCACAATGACCTGTCTAGGCCTCAAAGTGATCTTCAACTCTTCTCATGAGCTCTCTCAAGACATCAAGTCCAACTTCATGACCCCAAAATCATCTGATGGCTTTCCACAACTCTCAAGTTAGGAGACCTACACACTTGGCTTCAATCACTCTCTCTGAGGATCTTTTAACTTCTCTAACAAGGATATCAACCCTTGAACACTTGAATAACCTTCTTAGCTAGCTTCATATTCTTGTGTAGCTCTTAATTGGTAATTATACCTCTTGGTCTCCTGCATACATGTCAATGAAATGAAAATGATAATGCTAATGTGAATGAAATGAAACATAAGCTAGGTAAAGAAAGGTTGGGCAAATTTTGGGGTGCAACAACAACAAAACTCTAATATTTAGGCTATTTTTTAAGTTTTCTATTATATAAATATTTTTTTGTCATCTTATTTTTAAGCCTTTCTCATATTTTTGTTATTGATGAGGTCTAAGTAAAGAACTCAAAATTTAATTAGTTTGAAATAAAGTATTTTATTTTTTTAATTATTCTTTTTTAAAAAATAAATATTTTTGAAAATAAAGTTTTCTAAAAAATAAATAAAAAATATTTAAAAACAATTTTTTTTTAATAATGCTTTATATAAACCAAAAAGAGTATATACAAGGGTATAGAGGACCCCAACCACAAAACAACCAAAAACCACAACTACTCTATAAGTAATTGAGCTATATGATGTCTCATTCTAGTATTCACCCACCCTATATTCACAAGGGTAGAAATGACTAAATCTCTAATATCCAAAACATTCACCGTATTTCCAAAGACCGCATTGTTATGATACCTCCAAACTTCATGGATGGTTTCCGCTACAGCACTACGCAAAATGCACTTCCTCCAACCTTTACCTTTGCAATGCGTGATTAACCACTCAAGTTCCTCACGCCATTCACACGGGAAATGTTGAAACCCCAACCACACCAGGATTTGTTGCCAACAGGTTTTAAATGGTGGACAATCAAATAAAAGGTGGTCAATTGTTTCCTCCTTGTCGCAGAAATTACACTTGTCGTCGGTCATAAGGCCAAGTCTTTTGAGTCGTCCCCTTATCGTAAGTCTACGGTGGCAAGCCATCCACATAGTAAAAAGGACTCTCGGTCTAGCAATAATGTTGGATAACATGTGTTTCCATCCAACATCAGGATCATCCTTCTTTAGGAACTGGTACACTTTACCCACAAAGTATTTCTCCTTCATTTCATACCAATCTTCCATGCCAATAATGATGAATCTGTGTCTAAGAATAGCTTTTAGAATCCACGACATACCCTGTTTTTCCTGGACCTGCATAATATCTGTAGTTTTGAAATAAAATGCGTGGATCCATTTCACCCAAAGAGTATCCTTCTTGTTGCAAAGGTTCCACAACAGTTTTGTTAAACAAGCCGTGTTCCAATATGATAAGTCCAACACATCCAGACCGCCCTTCTGCCGAGGTTTACAGACACTCTTCCACGCAATTGGGGATTTTCTCGATTTCACCTCGCTACCTGTCCACAAGAAAGTCCTGCAAATAGACTTAATGGTTTTGATCACATGCTTGGGGTAAGGGAGGCAGCTCATCCAATATGCTGCAATAGCTCAGTAATTTAGAGCTCCAATGACTAATCTGGCTTACAATTTTGTCCACCAAACTCATATAATGATGCGTTGAAAGCCTTTTACAAGTGAGAGGAACCCCCAGGTAATGAAAAGGTAAATCCCCTTCCATAAACGAAGTAGAAGCCAAGATGTCGTTTTTTGGTCTCATTTTTCACACCCCGAAGTACACCCTACACTTCACAGGGTTAACTACTAAACCAGTGGACTGGGAAAATGTTTGCAGGTGATTCATAAGTAACTGTACAGACTTGCTATCCCCATGGGTAAAAAGGAGAACATCATCCGCAAAACTGATATCAATGATTTGCAACTTTTCGCATTTCGCATGGAAGTTGTAGTTAGGAACTTTGCTTAAATGGTGTAGGAGCATGTGAAAGTATTCCATAGTTCAAACAAAAAGAAGGGGAGAAATAGGGTCACCTTGTCTAAGACCCCTTTTAGCCTTCATGCTTCTAGTAATTCTGCCAGCAACATTGAACTTGTAAGATACTGTAGTAACCGCCAGCATAATCCATTTGGTGAATTTGTGAGGGAAGCCAAATTCCTTGAGGATACACTCTAGAGCATACCAGCCCAAGGTATCATAGGCTTTTTGGATGTCCAGCTGCAATAGACATCTCGGAGTACCGCCTTTTCTGTTGTACCCTTGGATTAGCTCGTACGCTAATAAAATATGATCATGGATGTTCTGTCCAGGGATGAAGGCAGCCTGGCTCTGACTGATAATACTGGTAAGAACCTTGCTCAATATTCTAGTCAATATTTTTGATATGATTTTGTAAAGCGTAGTACAGCAGGATATCGGTCTAAAGTCCTTCAACAATTACCACCATTACCTTTAGGAATTAAGGATACAAGAGTACAATTAACAGCAGGGTACATGTTGAAGTTGTCGAAAAAAATCCATAAATGCAGCAATGGTATCTTTTTTAATGATGTTCCATGAAGCTTTGAAAAATTTTGCCCCAAAACCATCAACACCAGGGGCTTTCAGGTCACCAATGTCATGTAGGGCATTATAAATTTCTGGTTCAGTGGGGGGACATACCAACATATCTTTCTGTACACTAGTAATGTGAGGACCAACTCTCATAGCAGTTAAGTTTATACCTTCCATGTTATTATTAGGACTACTCATGAGAGTGCCATAGAACGACAACACCTCATTCTCAGTGTCCTTAGTCTTGCTAAGGATTTCACCTGTCACAGAACACATCTCAGTAATAGTACTACTGTTTTGTCTAGCTTTTACCTGGGTATGAAAAAACCTGTTGTTGCCATCTCCCAATCTGAGCCAGCTGATTTTAGCTTTCTGCCTAAGCACATGTTCCTCAATTTCACTCCAGTAACAAACCTCAGTTGATCTGGTTTTAACAAGGTGGATAATTTCAGGATTATCAAGGTCCTCCTTGAGCTTCAGTTGGGCCTCCTGTAAATTCGGTCTTGCATTCTTGAGGGCAGCAGTGGCACCCAACAAAGGTTTACTAATCTTCTGCACAACATTTTGGCTTCTAAGCAATTTCCTCCACATTACATACATGGGATTACCCTGAATAGGGACATTCCAGCTATTAGTAATGTGTTCTTGAAATCCCTCAACCTCAGTAGAATAGTTAAGGAACTTGAAGTGAGGGGTTATATTCACAATATTTTCAGGGCCAGACAGCAGCATTAACGCATGATCAGAGATGCCAGGGGTAAGGACTTTTAGGCACATGCTGATGTATTTTTGAAACCACTCAGTGTTAGCCAGTCTGTGGTCAATCCTAGAGTGAATGATGTTGTCACCTTGCCAATTGGACCATGTGTAATAATCTCCAACCGTATCCATTTCACTAAGGTTACAGTGGTTCATCATATCAGTTAAATCTTTATACTCTTTCATCTGCACCATGGATCCTCCTCTTCTGTCAATAGTCTGAACAACATTTTTAAAATCACCAACAAGAAACCATGGCCCCTGTTGGTTTTGGTTAATGTGTTCAATATCTCTCCACAAAGTCTTACGATAATCCATTCTGTTTGTGCCATACACTGCTGTAAGCCACAAAGTCGTGCACCTTTTTCGTCTCTTATTAGAATGTGTGTCTTTAGCTCTTGTGTAATGTCAATTTCCACCAGGATACGAGCATATGAAACCCTGAGCTTATTTGTCGTGCATTCATCTGTTACCAGCGGTGTTCCTAGTGCACTGCCTATTTTACTCAGGCTCCGCGCGCCTCACAGATGTAAAGGTAGCTGGGGTAATTTCACCCACAATGGAACTCTTCTAAGAATATCCTTGTTCATACTGAAATCAGGTTTCCACTCACGCAACATCATTGGTCTATTGCGGATTGAGTACGGCCCCTTCATCAAAACTAGGTCTTTGTCTTGGAATGAGTGGAATCTAAGGATGAAGAATCCTTCCTCATTATAGAACATATCAGGTAGCTTCATAAAATTCCAGCTCTTGCTCATGAATTGTTTCACCGCATTCATGCTGAGGTCCACCCCTAAGGCATACATGATGAGGGCAGACTCCCAAAATATTCTTAGTATGCTCTACGGTTGCAGTTTTGTCTGATCTTCCACATCAGAAATGAAGGATAGTGTCGTGAAAGAGTTGTTGAGTTGCAGCCAAAAATTTGGCTGTGTAGTTTGGGCTATAGAAAATAGATGGATGTTTTTTTTTACTTGTAGAAAGTTCAAGTAAAAAATATGTGATATAATCAAGATTACACAAGGTTCAAGATAATATAGATGGTTGAGGAGCTTACTGCCAACAAGGACGTTGTACCATAATGTTTCAACCTAGTTTTCGACATGTGAAAATTCTTGAAGTGGTTTAACTTCAAGTGAAGTATACTCTTCTTTAGGTGGAGTATGATATTTTTTTAAGACTATAATTTTCGATGAAGACAATGTGAAATTCTTGGAATGGTTTAGCTTCAAGCGAAATTTATTCTTCAAGATAAAGTATATGATTAACGCTGATGACAATGTGAAATTATTAAAGTGGTTTATCTTCACGTGAAATATATTCTTCATGAGAGAGTATGATAATTTTTAAAACTATGATTATTGATGAAGACAATGTGAAAATTCTTGGAGCGGAGTAGCTTCAAGTTACTATAATTTTTATAATGGAGTATGATTGTCGGTGAAGACAATGAAAGTTTATGTATTATTTTCAATCAAAGTGGAGATTGTTATGATTGGTTAAAAATATATATGTTGATACTCTTTATGGTGGAATATGATTGTCGGTAAAGACAATGAAAACTTATGTATCATTTTTAATCAAGGTGGAGATTATTGGGTTGGTTGAAAATATACATGTTGAAGAAGGTCCACATTGCTTAGTTTTGTGAATAAAGAGATAGTCCAAGGCTATATATAGGATACAAGTTCTTTGAAGTTCGACATCGTTTAGTTTTGTGAATAAAGAGAGAGTCAAAAGCTATATATATGATTCAAATTCTTCATTCCAAGATGCACTAGTCAAGAGCACTTTAAGCTTGTGTTTGACTTTATTTATTCTCTTATACTCTTTATTAGAGTCTTGTGAGATGTAGTTAAATATTTGTTTTGGAGGGTGTGGATGTACTGAGGGTCTGGGTTAGTTGAGGGTATATTATGCGTTGTAACAATTTTTATATAGTGTTATTTTTTTGTTATCTATTGACAATGACTGTGGTTTTTTCTCTAGTTTTGGAGTTTTCACGTTATGTCCTTGTAATTGTGTTCCTCTTTTTTCTCTATGCTTTATTTTTTTTTCCCAACATTGTCTTCCTCTCAACTAATATAAAACTCTGTTCTGGCCATGATCTCCTCCTTTGAGGATGTTAGATTTTGCGCTAGGGAATCATTAAAGTTACCAACATAGAGGTCATTATGGATGGCTCTTACAAACATTTCTTGGTTTCGATAAGCGGCCTTGACGATTTTTTTCATTAAACAAGACCAAATACTCTCACATTGAATAGATATAACTTTGGAGAACATTAAAAAGGCTTGTGGTGGAGACCTTCCTATATTTACTAGATGAAAACAAGTGAATCATCTTTGTTAGGTCATGGTAACTTGTTATTGAAAATCATGAAATGCTTATATGTCATCTAAGGGTTGTTTCCTTCAACGTCCCCATCATTAGCTTAACTTAAAGGAATTAGTTATCCCTATGATAACCATTTGTGTGTTGATAGCGATGATATGGTCTTGAAGATTACTATTGTCATCAAATGTTCGAGGAGCGGGATGGTGGCTTGAAATTGTCAGAGGCATGGGCATCCCAAATCTTTGCCGCTAAAGGTTCAAGATCCACAGGGTCTTCCTCTTTATCACATACTAATTATGGTTATCATTGTTGCAGATCACATACATTGTCTTGTAAGGTATCATTTCGAGGACACAAATTTCTCCATAGTGGCAAGCATATCTGTTGTGATGGCTCAATCATCATTGTTTTCTATACTCTCGACCGCCTTTACCATTTTGGGACGATAAAGGGATGATGTTAAGACATGGTTGTATGGATTGGACATGTTTTATAGGATATCATGGCAGTTTTGATCTCTAACCTGCTCCATATTTGAGGTCTTTAAAGACCACTTAATATCCATCAAATTCACTGCTCCCTTGTCTAATTTTGACTCATTATGATTATTAATTCACTTTAATTTGAATATTCCCCTCACTTTGGTTCTCAAACAACTTGATCGATTTGACTTGTTTATTGCCTTATCTTGGTTCAGTCCTTGTAGGCGGATTGAGAATTGGAACATGTTCTATTGATTCTGGATTAGAACCAGATCCACCTGTTTTAGGTGAATGACATAAATGTACAATTTTCATAAACAAATAATTCGAGAGGTTAAATATTCAAAACACCATACATAATCATCATAAAAGATAGGTAGAAATTTTTTTGATAGTCAAGTACTCGATATATTGAAAGGGAGTACTAGGGGTGCTCCAAC